TATATATATATATATATATATATATATATTGCACTTTATGGTTCATTCAAATGAAGAGTTTTTGTGGGGGAGGCTTTATATGAATGTATCTCTGAAAGGAACTGATTGTCTTCTGAAAAGTTTTGAAAGCATTTTCTCTTCATCCTAACTTTTCTATAATTCTGAATAAAGTAGTTAGTTTTTTAGTGCTGCTTCATGTACAGGGATAAAGTGGGGTAACTTCCATATTACTTTTGCTGTATTTCTCCTTTTGTCAGAGAATGAGTTTGTTTTTTGTTTTTTTTAGAAACCTGAATAATCTCTTAACCTAATCCTAGTCTCTGGAGTGTCCACAACCATGCCAAGAATGACACTTTTGATGAGATGTGCATTAATCACTCTGTAACTGATAGAAACTGTAACGGGTGCAGAAAAGCTTTTAAAGGAAAGAATGAAAGGTTATTCAATGGGAAAAAAGCCGTCATTTGCTCAACTCTATGATATATTTCTTGCAGGTGATGGAGCAGCTGGGTGATGCTCGTATCGACAGACAGGAGAACAGCAGACAACAGCGTAAGGCTGAGATTCTGGAGAGTATCAAGAGGCTGTATCCTGGATCAGTGGTGAGAAGCGACTTCACAGTGTCATTGCATATATGTGTCTTATATAGCTGTATGCTAACATATGGTCATCTCATTTTCCAGTACGGGAGACTGATTGACCTGTGCCAGCCCACACAGAAGAAATTTCAGATTGCTGTTACTAAAGTTCTGGGCAAAAACATGGACGCCATCATTGTGGACTCTGAGAAGACGGGTCGTGACTGTATCCAGTACATAAAAGAGCAGCGTGGGGAACCCGAGACCTTCCTGCCCCTAGACTACCTGGAGGTGCTGTCACTGGATTTTTATTTCGCTGAATGTGTTGTGCTTGAGCAAGTTGGCTCATGTATTATAATGTCCTCAACAGGTCAAGCCCACAGATGAGAAACTGCGTGAGCTGCGTGGTGCTAAATTGGTGATTGATGTAATTCGCTATGAGCCACCACACATTAAGAAAGCCCTGCAGTACGCCTGTGGAAATGCCCTGGTCTGTGAAAATGTGGAGGATGCTCGCAGGATCGCCTTTGGAGGACCATACAGACACAAGGTACAAAGGGAAAAAAATCACGTCACAAAAAATCCAGCTATTGGATAGGTTTTGAGTGTATTGTGCATTAGATTGTTGGTGACTGGACTAGGGGTCGACCGATTATCAGCGCCGATATTAAGCATTTTTATGATTATCGGTTATTTTCAAAACCAGTTCGCCGATAAAATAACTTAATTTTGAAACGTGCTATTTGGCTCTGATGCAGCCTGTCAGAACTCACCACTCTGTGGCCTAAAGCAGTCTCCGCCCACCACCCATCTGATTTGTTGGGAGTCACGAGTCAGACTAATCAAACGGAATTCACTCTCACTCCGAAAGCGCTTATAACTGGAGCTGCTTCAGTGATCACGCATCAGTTGTCTCTCAAA